GTTGTATATAATATGACATTGACCGCAGCAATTTCCTAATGTTGTAAACCCGCTCAACATTTGGCAATAAAACCCTTTCTGATTCTGATGCTGATTGAAATAAAACAAAAAAAATCGTAATCATGTAAAGTTAAAAATGCGCATATATGTATATACACGCACACTATTTTTTTTTATTAAAAAATAAGACTGTGGTCTTACTTTCTAAATAAGAAGAGCCAATTCTCCACCCTACAGCTTAGAAGCCGCAGGAATGTCTCTGCGCATCTATTCAAAGGATTAAGGTGAGCCTTTCGGGAGGTTCTGTACGTGGCAGCGCTTTCCTCCCCTCCGTACTTTTCATAACCCCTGGGTGCCAAGTGGATTTGCGTCCACATTCTCAAACGTGACTATCCTGTTTGAAAGCCATGAGAATGAAGGTAAGCTGACATTAAATGCTGTCTCGGATTAGCTATCGCACAAAATGCTGTGTAGCATTACATCACGGCTGAGTCCTTGAGCTCGCATGCCTCCCGAACATGCTGGGATGGTTGTCAATCGTGGGTCCAACAGGCTTCTGTTGTTTTTTTAGTGCACCAGATTGTACAGACTATCAGGTTCCCAAGGTTAAAGAAAACACAACATGTTATTCAGTGAGGTTTGTGTTCATTCCCGTGCTGTTTCTGGAGGTTACATTATAATGCGAGACACAGCTGAGTAGCAAATGTTCCACAGCGGACGGACAGGGAGAAAGTTTTGAAAGTTTGCGCGAAACTTCGTGACCGAGCATCTCACGCGTGGATGACATTCTGTGTTTTACACACACTCACACACATACTTTGAATCGGAAAGTGTAGCTTTTTTCGGCACAGTGAATTAAAATCTCTACACAGCACGGACTACAGGACATTTACGGGACCAAAAAAGGGAAGTGTTGGGAATTTCTAGAAACAGCCGTCCCGGGCTGACGTCACTGGGACGGCTCCTCTACTCTGGAGATGGTCTGCACACTCGGTCGCGGGGGAAGAGTGAGTTTTGCTCATCTTTACCTAATTTCTGCTCTCACGCAGACACGTAAGCAGCGTAAGATTGGTCTGATGTTAGCAGTTATCGACACATATTCCAGCCTCGCGGTGACATTGTTTCAATTTCATGGACCGCAAACAAATCACCTCTAGCTCTGCAACTAACGATTATTTTGATCGCTATTGGCTGTTAATATGCCAAATAACCATGTAAAACGAATGGGATAGCAGTGGCAGTTAAAGTACTTATACAAAATCCAAAAATATTAGTTTAATCTAATGTTAGAGTAATAAAAAAGATCAATTTACGACACTAAGGAACGTGCAGCTATCAGATATGTCTTTGAAAATGACCGAAAAAGTGTTAGTTATCAAAACTTAAATAACTTTAGTTATCCGAATAAACCATGTAAAACCGCTGAATGCTTATTATACTCACATTAGATTCGTAGAAATGGGTCACACAGGGCTGTTATATGTAATTGCAATATAAATTAACTCCCTTTAAAGGGGGTGAATTCACTGTGGCTGCCTACTGTTCACTGGGTTCAAAAGATTAGGTCTTGCATAGCTCCAAAAAAGGGCTTTGTTCTCCCTTAACAAATGGCACAGCGTCACTAAATACACTGGCCTGGTAGCGTGATGCCCTGCAGTGATTTATGCATGGTAGAATGCAAATAATTGTCTCTGGCTGTTATGGGAGTGTGTAAAAATGGAAGGTAACAAATAAATACATCTGCCAGCTGCATAAACCCAGAAGACAGGTGACTCTTTCTAAATAAGCTGCAGCCGCTGTCCTGATCCAACTGTTTTTAACTAAACTGAATGCTACAACTGTCTCGCTGTCAAGTAGGTAAAATCCCCAAATAAATGCAAAGATAAAATATATTTAGTTTTATTTAATAACTTATTAAATTAGGGTGATTTGGGTTATTATTGATCTCCAGCAAACTTGCCTTAATATAAACCACAGTAGAAGTCAGTAGTTTTCCATGCTTTTCCTCTGGACAATGTTTCCATGATCAGCAGAACATGATTGGGATCTTGGATGAGGAATGCTCTCTTTCCATATCAAAGTAGGGGATGTGTCATAAGTAGTATTTCCATTGATTTGCTGACCACACAAAACCACAAAATTGCTCCACTTTGCTGACCTCATCCTGTGACGTTTAGTGGAAGTGAAAGTCAAAGTGTGAGTGGCTATAGATGAAACTGAATGAAGGGGTTGCCCGCTTATACTAAAAGCCCTGAAGAATTGAGCAAATTGTTAGTACTTTGTCAGTAAGGATCTTGAAAAACACAAACCGTAACCAACCTAAGCTGGGTGTTAAAGAGGGAAATCTCTTTTTTTCCTGCCCACAGTGTAATTTGAACTGCACAGAGTAGCAACGATCACCAGGTTGACTCTGGAATTTTTGTTCATTGCTGGAGGATAGTTCTGTGTCTTAAGACTGATGGCCATTGATTGCCTGGGCACGTTCACCTGTTCTGGGTATGGTACGTGCAGATGCTGTATGCGGTGCACCGTGTAACATGCATGTGACGTGGTTATGTGTCTATGTCTGCGTGTGGGCGTTGAGTTTGATCCTATTTACTGATTACATCGGTCGTTAAAATATCTGTTAAACATCAACTGCTTGCTTTTCTTCTTAGTGCACCAGAGTGGAAAAAATTGGCAAGTACCAGGCCTTTTTTTTCTTCTTCTCTCTTTTCAGAGTTTAGTTTTCTGGCATGCAACTTCCATTTTTTTGGCTTACATGCAAAGATAGCTGCACTTTCTCTCCCATCTAGGTTTATCAAGACACTGGAATTTGGTGTTTGGGGCCAAAAATCTACTCAGAAATGAATTTCTTTTGGGCTCTTCAACTTCTTTCCTCCTCATCCATAATTCTATTTAAACTATTCTGTTATGTTTGGGTGGGCGATGTCACTGTTTTCAACATTGTGGAATATAATTTTCCAGAGGAATTGTACAGATGTCATCATTAAATAAATAACAACACGTGATCTACCTTGCGTGACCCAATTAAAGATGTCACTGATTTCAAAATTGTTGGGGTGCTCATTGGACACACTTTCCATCTTGGAGTTATAACAGATTTAGCGTACGTTAGACTTGAAGTATCTGTGAGTGGACAAACATTCACAACATTCACACAACAGTCAGAGTGAAAAACAGGGTGCAGAGATTAATAAGTGGCACTTTTTGCCTTTAAAGTGATCCAAACATATGGGCTTTTGGCTAGAATGTCCACCCGTGCTGTCATGGAGCATATGTCCTGCAAACATGAGCCATTCAGATTCAAGGTTAGGCTTCAGGGGAAAAACTAAACAAAATTTGGTAGAAGTATTTTGCAGCAGTGTTGAAATATTGCATCATTCAGACTGCTCCCTCCTCTTTGCACAAGCCCGAGGTCATAAATGCTTAAATTTTGTTGCCTTGTTTGTATTTCTTAGAAATGAAATATTTATATAAACATATATTAAATGAAAGATATTTTATCTTTGCACATTGATATGTTTAATCTTCTTCCTCTTAAAACTCAAATTTATTTTAGTGTTTTCACCAGTCGGACAGATGTTGCATAGACCAGCCATGCTTGTTGTGTTTAGTTTTTCTCAAGTATGTAAAGTCCCATAGAAGAGTAGAACAAGATGACCACAGAAGTTGAACGTTTTACTCTAAGTGCAAACATTTGCTCCTAATAGGAACCCCTGCCCCACTGCAGACCTTGCATCCTGATGTCTTTGCCAGAGACTGTGTTGCTTTGGTTCCTTATCTCACTTACAGAGCCACTCCTCCATGTAAAGCAGGAAAGTCTGAACAAACTCAACCCCAGTATGAACTGGCAGAGATACTTTTAGGCTATTATCATTGAGTTCAGGCCAGTTTTGCAAATGCTCAACATTAAAACTGATGCTCCTTAATGCAATGGAAAAATGTTGAAGATCTGCCTGCTTTCTCCTACCTACCTCGGTCTGAAATGCATGCACACAACTTTGGCCTGTGTACAAAGTGCAGCTGTGCATACCTGCACTCTCGGGACCTCTCTGGACATCCTAGCCTGTCCTCTCCCCCTCATTTTACTTTCTAGAAAAACCCGACACCACTCGAGTAGTAAGTGTAACAGACCTCTTTTTCAGGAATGTTGCCACCTGCAGAAACAGGCCAGACTCTGTTTGAGCTGAGCAATGATACTGGCTGTAAATTACAAGGCGAGAGAAGCAATCGTTTACTTTTTAGTTTGAGACTTTGGTGATGATTATCTAGCCAGTGTTTAAGCCAACTCAAAATGCTTAAATGTAACACACAAGAAGCTGAATTTATACTGCAAGGAATATATTTATTAATATATATAGTCTTAGGAATGCACACAAAGTTGCATTAAAGAATGTCTTAGCCTTCTTTCTGAGTTCAGCATAAAGGTTTTTAGCCAATATACATCTGTCAGCTCAGCATAAGGCTTGTGCTTTTTGTCAGTCGTGTCACTCAAATGCAAATATATTTATTCTGCATAAAATGCAAATTTAGTCACATTCTTTGTGAACTGATTTAAAGCTCTCATACATTCAGGAAGAGACAGTGAAAGTTTTTTTTTTTTCCTGTGTTTCAAAAACGTGTAACTTTTTCTTTTAATCCCAAAATGAACAGTGCGGCTAAATGTGTGCTGCTTCGTCTCTCCTGAATCTTGGTCCAGTCATATCATTTTTTTGATCATTTGGCTACAAAGTTACACCCTCTGTGGTACATTCCAGTGTAATAGCTGTAATTGTAAATGTTAAAAGAGAAGATGAGGAAAAATAGTTCTTTCCTATACACGTTAAGGAGATTTCACAGCCTTTCTTCAGTCGCGCCTGCTGTAGATTAGCATCGGCATGTCTGTGTCAGATGTTTACCCCATCAGAAGAATCAGGATGTCACATATGAGCCACATTCCACCTGTGTTTGCGTCACACCATCACTGGCAGACAGATATGGTGCTTACACACTGACATTTATTTCCTGTAAATTTGTTATACTTGTTCCTTTTGGACATCATGTTGCTTTCTTATTGTCACTGTAGAAAATCACTGAATTTGCCCAGAAGGTGTCAGTCAAATAGTTTGTCTTTCCAGGAGGTTATTAAGCTATTTCTTTACTCAAATTTATTCAAATATCAATGTGTCTGTGCTTGCAGTTAGAATTCTAGATGTGTACGTTTTAAACATACTGTAGTAAACAGTCATCAGTGCCAAGTGATGCTTTAAAAACAGAAGGAAAGGAGAAAGTAGCACACAGTTGCTTTTTACAGTCTTGGACTGATGTTACTTCTACTTTTTCTGCTCAGCCCTGTAGCTGGCGCCGATACTTAATACTCATAACACTACTAATGCATTGTGGCAAAGTCTGCCATTAATAAACACTGAGGTTTTGTGCCTTATTGTGTTTTATTTAGTGTGTCAAATGCATCTAATTGCATGGAAATGTAGGTTATATTTTTAAAAGCAAGGCACGTAAGTAAGTAAATAGGTACATAAGATTATCTTCAGTGCACGAGCTCATTTCCAAAATAAATTTTCTGGTTGTCATGTTGAATTGTAGAGCAGGAGACTGAAAATGAACTTATGCCGACCTGGCGCGACCCTGATGGAAAGAGAAATGAGAAAATTACACACATAAACATATTAAAAATATACTGTTCAGTTACAGCTGTGTCCCCTATTTTTCCCTTCTCAGTGAGAACTGGGAACAATAGACCATGACTCATTTGTAGGAAACGTGCTGGAAACTTTTGAGAATTGTTTGGCAATCTGCAAATTTAGTCTGGAAACACAGAGTCAGACTTGGTGTAACACAAACTGAAAGTTTGAAACTATTTATATATGATACGCTTACAAATTGTGTTAAACGGCTTTAAGGAGGAATACTTCAAAAAAGACACTATTCATAGAGTTTTATAGAAAACGGTGGATAAAAAAAAAATCGTTTTATATGCTTTATAATGTTCAGCATAACTAGTTTATTTTGCGTGCCACTGTGACATGATGTGATTATGGTTTTTTTTTAATGTAATTGCAGGTTACTGAACAAGGCAGAATGAGCAAAGTCCTGCTTTTTGTCTCCTCGGTCCTGCTGTGTTGCTGCCGGACCACACGGGCAGAGATCTTTACATCCATTGGTAGGTTTACTGGTTGTCAGGGCAGCTAGTCCACTTATCACAGTGTCGCTGCCTCCTTCACATACTGAAGTGTCCTTGGGCCTGACTCTTAAAAATGAGTCAGGCCGATCGGTGTCCTGTGTGTGAGAGAGAGAGACTGGTAGAATTTGACAGACATTGCTGCTAACCTGCATTGCCTCCTTTTTGTCGTATTATAAGTCAATGGGTAATAAAATTGTGGGGAAAATCCCATCTTTTGGAAGGCATCAAAATAAAATGAATATGTTCTATAAAAGGTCAAGAGAACAAATAGAAAATAAAACATTAGTATCTGTTCCAACAATTATCCTCAAGCAGATTTGCAAACTTTGTCAGGTCTTTAAACATTTAGTGTTAGAATCCAGAAACTCTAGAAAGCATTGATGAGTGAGCCTTTAATCTGTCATCAGGTGTTTGGGATTACTTGGGACTCATTTACAGGACTTGCATGAATAGTCAATCATTCATTCAATTGATTGATCAAACCAAGCCCACGGGTCAAGAGCTCAGTGCTACTCTGGATTAAAAAAACAATCTTGATTGATGCCTTACCAATTACCTGTGTTGTTTTTAATCAAATCGGCCACGTTTGACCACAATAATAGGATGCTGAATTGCTCAAGAATGTACATCTGTGCTTTTCACTTTGTATTAAATGGAGGATGTGGCCAGAAGAGGACTAATAATAACTTTATAGAGAAATAGTTGTGGTACATAGATTCCTCTTTCTTTCTTTCAAATCAGTGCTCAGATATTCAGCATGATTTCCGTAGAAATTAATCTCTTGAACCACTTTAAAAGGGGGGAAAAAAGCTTTTCTTACACAATGCCCTTGCTTTGTGCAATCACAGAGACATTGCTGGCATACAGAAAATGCTTTTTGTATACAATATGTGTCACATCGCTCAACTGGTTAGTTCTTATTGCTTGGAAAGGTATACTGATGTGCTGTTCTGTTGATTTAATGCACTTAGGTGGTCAGATATGCTGTTTGCATGCAAAAACAATGCAGACTTGTCATCCTCTGTCTTTTAAAACTTCTGTTAAGCTAAGCAATCCAATGAGGATGTTTACTAAGCACACTACACCCCATCTATCTCTTCCAAGGCTCATGGGTGGGTGCTTAACTGTAATTTTGCTGAGTAATTCTATAGTATTAAAGCCCCGCAGTTTTTGGCTGAAGAGTTATTTTCAGCCTAAGTCTGAGGGGAGTGGTGGGGAGAAAGTGTTACCAGAAATAGATTCATTATTTTCTTTGGCTTTTAAAGCAAAATACAACAGAAAAACATTTCTATAGCTTTTTAGGTGTTTTTTTTTTTACTGACTCCTCAAACCAAAGTACCTGACAACACGTATTCACATATTTCCACGCACACTAATACAGCTTTTTATAATACAGTCTAACCAATGTGCCTGTCTTACAGCTAATATTTATTTACCCATTAACCTAATATCCCTGTGTTCATTGTGGGAGCAAACAAGAGTGCCCAGAGGAAAATCCCACATGGAGAACATGCTGAACAAACAGAAAGGTCTCTCGACCGTCTGATCAGCAGGCTAAGCGCTGCACCGACATGTCATCAAGTATCGCTTGATGGAGTTTTAATGTGAAATGAGTCATTTTGTCTCAGAAACACTAAACCTGCAAATTGCTTGAAATTGTAGTAATAAACAAGCTGATGTTGACTTTATCCTCAGTGAAACCTCTAATTTACCTTCATATCTGTGTGTGTGCCTACAGGCCAAATGACAGACCTGATCTACACAGAAAAGGAGCTGGTTCAGTCTCTGAGGGAGTACATCAAAGCAGAGGAGTCCAAGCTGGCCGCTGTAAAAAGGTACATTCTGAACTCTCAGATATCACCCCCTATTAGTCTGTGTGTTACTTTTCCTTTAATCCGTTCTCACATTTATAGGGTAAGTTGATATGAAGTGTATTGTCTCTCTATAAAATGTGTAGTAGAATCACCCTGTATCTGTTTCTTAGCTGGGCCAATAAACTTGATGCCCTGACCCGAGTGTCCACCGCTGACCCAGAAGGCTACCTGGCTCACCCAGTGAATGCCTATAAACTGATGAAGAGACTCAACACTGAGTGGTCTGAACTGGAGAGCCTGGTACTTCAGAATCCCGCTGATGGTAAGGATATATCTCCAAAACAGTATTTTACTAAAGGAGCACTCGTGAAGTGCCCTGATTTGAACTCTGCTTGGAAAAATTAGGATGTTTTCTGTGTGGTCTGTGAGATCTTGCAGATCATCACATGCATGCTACAATCAGACAAAGGGGAAATGTTTTTTAAATAGTGCCTACCTCTGTGTCTAGAGCAGTTCATTTGCCACTTTACTTATTGCATGTTGCAAAATATAGAGAAATACCTCAGTGTATGTTTTCTTGGCCAAATCTGTATGTTACCCTTTATTAATCCCAAATCAATAGCATTCTTTTAATGGCTTTTAAAGCAAAACCCAACAGGAAAAACTTTTCTAGTTTTTTGTAATTTTACTGACTAATCAAACCACTCTACCTGGCAACCCGTATTCACCTATTCTATGTATTGTCACCATGACACAATATATACAGTAATATATATCTCTCAGCATAACCAAAAGGCAAGCAGCACAGAGCAAATATAAGCTCCAGAATGGTTGTGAGGAGAATGAATGCAGCTTTTGCTGGGGAGTGGAAATGTTTACTGTGCTGCTTTGTCCACATGCTGCGATCAAGAACAGAGCTTGTCATGTTTTAGCTGCAGCTGTTCCTCATATCTGCATATTTTGGCAATGAAGAGTGTGTGTGTCTTTGTCTCTGTGCACTTGGACCTGAAAGTGTGTACGTGTTTAGACACAGGACCATATCTGTGTAAGGCAGATAAACTTAGCATACGTGTACAGAATTCAGTAACTGTGTATTGCACGGTTGTGATGCTATTGTGTAGTACAGTCTGTGAAGAAACGCAAACACACAGAGACTGACTAAAAAGGCGAAGACACATTCCAGCTCCACCTTTAGAGCTGGTACATCTAGATCAATATGATGTTGCTGTTCTGCATGTGTAAGTAAACGATTAAGTACCAACAAGTTAAAAATGACCCAAATTTGAATTATATGTGAGTGTTGTGAGTGTCATGTGATACATGCAAATGAGATGTACAGAAAGACATTCTCACTTTCTGTCCAGGGTTCGTCTCCAACATGTCCGTACACAGACAATATTTCCCAGACGAGGAAGATGAGACGGGTGCAGCCAAGGCGTTGATGCGCCTGCAGGACACGTACCAACTGGATTCTGAAGCCTTCTCCAAAGGAAAGCTGCCAGGTAAGCAAGAAGTGTGTGTGTTGAATATAAAAAAGCATGAAAATATCACAAAGGACAGAGTAACTTAAGCATGTCATGGAAAAGTAATTAATATTAAGTTAATAAATAACTTAATAATTATTAAGTTATTTATTAATAACTTAATAAATGGTGCACATTTAGTTTTGTTTAGTCATTTAGTCTTACTGAGTGGTTCCCATCAGGTGTGCACTCCAATGCTGTACTGACCGTGGATGACTGCTTCGACATGGGAAAGACGGCTTACAACGATGCAGACTATTACCATGCCGTGCTGTGGCTGCAGCAGGCCTTGAAACAGCTGGACGATGGCGAGGAAGCTGTGGTTTCCAAGGCAGACATTTTGGACTACCTCAGCTACTCTGTTTACCAAATGGGTGACCTCCCTCGAGCCATTGAACTGACGCGACGGCTTGTAGCTATTGGTAAGACACAACATAGGCAAATGAAGCGTTCTTCCTGCACACCAACGCTCATTACACACACACACACACACACACTCTCTATTTCCAGCCTGAGTCGGACAGAGATGTAGTCTTCCTTGTAAATATAAAAACTGGATGAATGGAGTTCATGGGACACATGTTTAGATCAAATGTTTTATGTAAATATGTTTAAAGATTTAAGTCTTTTTCATTTGTTTCTAATTACACCTTCTTCTACAACTCAATTTCTCTACTGTGCTGTAATTAATAGTTTGCTTTCTTCTGGTTTCACTAGTTACTACAGTTCACTCTCCTCTCTGACTGTTGTGGTGCTCTGTGCTCACCACAGTAGCTGGGTGTTGTCCATTGGAGAGAAAAAAAAAGTGGCCTGTGGGTTTAAACTGTTATTTTAGCCTCTGTATCACAGGCTCTGACAGCTATAGGTCACAGGCTACAGCTGCATTTTTAAGTTGTGGTATACTTGTTTACTTGTCAAGTGAAATGAATCGAGCTGTTGTAGAGGTGAAACAGTACGCCATCAAGTGCTGCAAAAATATCCTGCAAATAACACACCTCATACAGAAATACTCCAGTATGTGACTCGCCCGTAAAAGTGGGACGCAAATGTACAGCATGAAAACACATTTCTGGGACATTTTCCAGCACATACCTGGCTATTTATATACAAGACAGCACATCTGAAATGGAGGAGAGAAACATGATATTCTCACTGTCTCATAACCTGCAGTAATATTAATCCTATCAGGAGATCCTGAGGTTGTAGTCATTCTGGAAATTTCCTAACTAAATGTGTAATGCTGTAAGCGCACATGCTTACAGTCCTGTGTAAAACTACACCCAGCAAACTGCAAACACATTAACCCCCTAGAAGAACCACAACAAAATCAACATGTAGGATAAACAATAACTAAAATACACTTAAAGTTTCTTTGTTTCTGTAAATGAGCTGACTTTGCTACTAAATTAATTAGGCTTCAATGAAGAGGCACTACCTGCAAATTCCACAAGAGGGTGCACTTTTTCCATTATTTAACTCAGTTACTTTAGTAACTGAACAACAAATAACAAGAAGAAGACACAAAGGAGAAGTTTTTTGATAATAGTAGGTTTTCTTAGTGTTGTATTCACTAAGAAAACCTTCAAGATTAAAAAAATTTGAAGTTAAAAAAACTCATTGTTCTGTTGCTGGCAAATGAGTAAATGCAGTTATATCACAAAGTCTTAACAAATTAAAATAGAAAACAGCCAGATTTCAGGGTTATTTGTTTATTTGTTTGTTTGTTTGTTTTCTTTCAGTGTCTACCTACTATGACTACTGTTTGAAATGTGTTATTGGCATACACGGGATACGACTCCAAAGTGTTTCATATCATCACGTTCTTCTACCTCTGCTAATCACTTTTGTTGTATTGACAGATCCCAGCCACCAGAGGGCAGGAGGAAACCTCCGTTATTTTGAGCAGCTACTGATGAAGCAGCTCCGTGAGATGAACCAAGACTACCAGCCTCCATCTGAGGAGCCCATTCAGCTGGGAACCTACAGTAGACCCAAAGACCATCTCCCAGAGAGAGAGTCCTATGAGGCTCTGTGCAGAGGAGAGGGGATCCAAATGGTGAGTCATCCTGCAGACTCTTTCTATCTTGAGTCGCTATTTTGTGAAAACAAATCCTAAATTGAATATTTATGTGTTTTCATTGATTTTTATGGACATTCATTGTTAGGCTGTTTTTCTGATGCTATGTAAAATCAGCACTAGCCAAGCCAAAAACGTCAGCCCTGATTTAAGATGTATTTAATCCTGAAAAGCAATACATAAGAAACTAATTTTGACTCTGTTGCAGATTTTTCTATGTGCAAACTATAACCAAACTATAAAGGAGGATTAAAGTATAATTGTCCAAACATGGTGATTATTTGTGCACAATAAGAGCACAGAAACTTTTATAGACAACAACTGGAAACCTATTGCATAATTAGATGTGTTTATTGTCAGCAGGCTGAATCAAAAGAAACTGGATTCCATTAGTGTTTTTACTAGTGTATTATTTAGTAACCCTTTTGGAACCTAAGCTACAACTCTTGCTTTAAACAACAAAATTAGGCCGCTCTCTGTATAAACAAACAGGAACACAGGAAAAACCACACGCACGGAGTACAGAGTCATTTACAACAGAGATAGTTCTGTAGTCTATTTAAGTTTAGACGCTTAAAATGATGAAGAGGTCAGTCAACCCTGCTACCAAGCTCAAAT